ATCTAATGTAATGCAACATATTTTAATTCGAGTGAACGCTGTTCATACATTCAATAAGTACGATCCATTAGCTGAATTCTGATTGTACAATTACATACGAGGAATTTACTACGAACTTCATCCACTTTCGACCACTTTGATAGATCTCACATTGAAAGATCGTCTAATAAACTGTACGAGGAGCGGATAATTTCAACGCCGGTGAGTGAAAAGCAGCATTAAAGGAGCAGCAACAGTTAGCAGGGTATGAAGACATCCCATCAGGTGGCCCATGATTGTTGCACAGTACCGGTTGATTGGCACGCAGCAGCAAGTATAGAGAATCGCTGCAGGCAGGAAGGGAAAGAAGCGCGAAGATTCGTCGCGGGGGGAATTCGTCGAGGGTAAAAGAAACCGCGTGGAGGGTTAATCCCATTGGACCCTAACCGTAGAATCTCTGTGCCGTTTCTTCATCTCCCCTTTCTTTCTCCCCTTCTCCTTCGCTCCCCTCCTCTCCCCACCCATCCGCTCCTCGACATAATTGGCCCCTACGCGATCTCTAGTCTGGTGCCAGAAGGGATTTCTAGAAGTCGAGTTGGTCTAGCCCAATCTCTCCTCCCGTTCTGTATTCCATCGACGAATATCCGCGATCCTGTATTTATCGGTGATCCGATAAAAGTCCAATTCGATGGCTTCGTTTGTTCGTACGAGGCTGTGATTTTATCCGGCCGTTCACTGATTTAACGATCGTGAGAAGATCAGCGAGATTGATTTTGAAAACAGTAGCGCGTGAATTTCACGATCCTCGCGCGATAAACCGCGCGGAGAGGAATTGTTCATTAGCGTTGCGAGTGATTTCTATCTCCGCTTCCAGAAATGTTTCTCTCGCCGTGCAAGCGCGCAATTTCAAGTGTGAATTCATATCGTAATCTCATCTTTATCCAGAGATAAAGGGGAACCAGGTTCGCGTCGGAGTGGCGCGAACGTTCCGGACGATTTTATTTCGTTTCGTAATCTCGCCTCGATGGAATGCTATAAACTGGGATGCTATATTCGTCGGCGTTGAAACAGATCGATCATCGGGCGATGAATTATTTCAGATAGGAGATAGGCATATAAATCGCGTCGAACGACAGTGCCTCGCAGTCGCGGCCGGCAACAAAGGAGAATCAATTGGGGAAAGGACAGAGAGACAGAGCCGATGAGAGGGTAGCCGAAATAATTAGCGGTAAGCATGAAGAAGGTCGGGCGGAAGGCCGTGGCCAGGAAGCGGCGTGGGGAGTCCTGTGATCTTTGGGAAGTCACGGGTCAGCTATGTGTGCTTTGGCTGGTTTTTGCTGGCGAATATTACCGCGAGCAATTAGCCGAGGCTCATTAGTTACTGTCTAATCAATCAAGCCAACGGACGGAAGGAAGAGACTTCCTTGTAAAACTGTTACATGGAAACGAAGTCACGATACAGGCAGCTTTCCTGGAAACTTCCCCCTTCTTCATTCTCCGTGTATGCTGTTTCTCCTCGTTTCTTTCTCGCGCGAGGGAAAACTTGGCACATTCAGACGATGATCATGAAGGACGAAGTATCAACTTCAACGAGAAAATTGGTAATTCCAGGGGAGCGAGTCAAGGTGTTTCGCTGGTTCGAAATCGAATTGAAAGGGATGTGTATCGAGGACGAGAGAGAACATGGTGCAGCATCCATCTTATTCAAGATCCACCGGTTGACCCTGTCCACGGGAGTTTAAACGAAAGTCAGGCAATCTGCCGGCTGGTTGGAACCCGCAGGTTCATTAGTCACCTAACTAAACACTGTTGCCCCACGCCGCTAAGTAAGCTGTAAGGCCTCGGACTATCAGGCTCCGGCAAAAGAACCCGAGCACACGCTCTCGGTAAGGATGCACTCGATTGATCGTCGCCGGATGATCGTGCAGATATCGCTGTCACGTGGCTGTTAGATTCCTTCCAGCAGCTGGTCGTGCCCCTTAATGGGGCACTTAAAAGTCGATTAATTACAGCCGTAATAGGTTACCTTCTTCATAGTAGGTTAGTCGATTTTTACCTCCCAATGTTATCGCGGAAACTACGCGAATCCGTCGAATTTCGCGTCTCAGTCGTAACTTCGTCTAATTAAAGTGATACTAAGGATCGACATACGTTAGATCTAGCCTGAGCGTAGCTTCACTTTTTCTTTTTTTTTTTCCAAAATTTCATTTCATGGTTCGTATTCGATCGAAATGTCCAACGTTTAAACAACACCTAGGAAATAAATCAGTTGGAGTCGTGGACTGAGTTTTATGCAAAAATAAATTATTCTTTCAGTATCTCGTGCTCCCTGAATTCTTCGTTCTTTCTCAGTTTGTAGCTCCACTGTCCATAACTCTAGATCTAATGGATGAAGGTTCACTAGCGTAACAAAGTGCGAATGCAAACAGGGGTGGCACGTGGTTGGGTGCAGCTTGGGAGGATAGTGGACGATGATGGTGACGTGTGACACAGTCTGACGCGGTGTTGGAGTATCAGGTCCCGAGTCGCCGGGTCGGAGCGGAGGTACATCGTGGTCGTACATGATGATGTATATGGTGCGCGGGAATAGGGGCGGGGCGGAGACAGATGGGCGTGCGGAGGATCCCTTTGAGGCTGCCGCATGCGGCGCCAGTGCCTCTGCCCTGCAAGTTCTTCTTTTACCTCTTCTGGCCCCATCGGAAACCTGCGGACGGTGCTTCGAGGCCTGAGGAAGCTTCGAGCCTTTCCCTGGCGCCACTTGGAAACACCGTCGTCGTCGAATCCTTTCGGTGCAAGAATCCACACGCGTGCTCTCTCAGCCTTCGGCCAGTGGATGCGTGCTCTGACCAAACCGAGTTCTGACAAACTGCGGCTCTACAGATGCGTGTATATACCTATAGGTTCTTACGAGTACGACGAAACATCGTTTATCTTTATTGAAACATAATCATGCGTCAATTCGAAGGTGGAAATTTTCAAAATTCGTTCAATTGAACACTTGCAGAATTACGATTAATAGATAGAACGTCAGTC